GGGGGGGGGGGGGGGGGGGGGGGGGGGGGGGGGGGGGTCGGGTACGGGTGAAAATCCACTGCTCGCTGTCCCCGTGGTGCAAGCGTGCGCGATATCACGTCGTTCCCATATTGTTTTATGATGGTGCCACAAATGCAGGCGCGTACAACCGCGACCCGATCGACGTGAGCAAGAGGATCGACATCCGGAAGAGCTGCATCACCTCCAAGGACAGCCCTCTCCTGGACCGACTGCTGGAGATTCTAGAGTGGTTCGATACATGGTGGCAAGATCTGAACCTGTTCGGCGGCAGCGACCTGGCCCTCGACGACCTCTTCCTCCCCGACCAGACTTGGGACGACTTGCGACTCACCATCCTCGGATTCGTAGCGATGACTCGCTACGTCTTCGGAGACGATGACTGGGTGACCGAGGGATCGCGTGGACGATACAAGTTTATGCGAGACTGGAACCAGGCAAGTGTTGGTTATACGTTGCCCTATCACAAGGTCGGAGTGGACGGACATGCGGATTGTGTGTTGACGTTAAATGCGAAGCACGGCGACCGATTTTTCATGCAATGCATGTCCGGCTTCATCTCAGGGTTAGTGGGAAATTTCGCTCTCAACGAATCCCACCATCCCCTCCCCCATCCAGCCTCCCCGTATTCCTTGATACCCGTGCCGCAGGACACCTGCGAGAAAAGGTTCGGCCACATCAGGGCCAATCAGGGATGTCACAAGAATCCCCGCAAGGAGTCTGCCTTCGCCGCGGGTCACCGCGCGGATGTAGTCAGAAAGGCTCAGATGTCCAAGCGTCGCGACTCGGACCGTGGTAAAGACGCTTTCAAGCTAGACATGGTTAGCGCGGCAGCCGAAGCTACACTGCCGGTGAACGAGCAACAACGCAGATATCCGATGAGGGCAGAGGGGGCGGGCAGGGCTGGCTTCGTCCGCGAGGCGAGGAGTTTGCGCCGCCAGAGTTGAGTAGTCACCCTCACGGAGGCATTGGCGGGGGTCACGGGGTCCTTGCGTGAGAGTGCAGTTCTCCTTTGGGAAAACCAAGTCGAGTATTTAGGCACTGCGGCTAGTTAAACAATCTTGTCGGTTACTGTCGCGCGAGTTAGGCCCTGTAGCCGCTCGGCGGTTTGCATCCATTTCCCCCCAGACTCGTTGTCCGGAGTCCGGAGTAATGTTGCGTCGAGAGATACGTCGGACATTTGTGTGTGGACCTTTCTATTGTCAGGTTGTCCAGGTTGTCCATACGCACGGTAGAACTACACCGTGCGTGCAACGTGTTTTTTCACCCAACTGTGTTATTTTGTTTGTTTTGTCGAAGTTCCTTTTGGCTGCTTCGAATGTACTGATGTCTGTTGGTTATTTCCGAGAGCCGTACTTGCCACCCAGAAGGAACAAAATGGCACAGCCTTGTTCGGCGTACTCGGGGTCACAGGGCCCAAGGTAGCGACCGAAAGCCAGACAAGAGGTGCACTGAGAGTGCATGATGCGATGCAGATATACAAAACGCAGGAGAAAGATGACGGGGTTAGTCGCTTACAAAACAAAATGCAAGCAAAGAAAAAATGTGCCGACCCGTGAGCCACCTCGTGGACGACATGAGATGATAGGCAGGAGGGCGTGACCATATAACAAAATCCAAGAACTGTTTCTCATAAAATCTAAACACCGATTCATGCGGGCATAGAAAGCCTCCGCTACCGATCGTCCGCCCAATACAACGGCTAACGCTGAGCCCAAAGGAAAGCCTGTAGCGCAATTTGTGTTACCTCACCCTGCTTGGACTCTCCGCGGCAAGCCGGATCTACATCCTCACCTACGCCCGGCGCTATCGCCCTCAACATAGACCTGAGGCCATACTGCCTTTCCCTCCCAGAAACAACTCCACCACACGCCTTGATACGGGAACCAAGTTCGCCCTTGGTGAGCCTCATGAAGTCCCTAGATCCTATTGAGTCGGCAAGATCAACCCGCTTCTGTCTCTCCGGTGTTGTTGGTTTACGAGTCTCGGTCCTAACCCCGGTCTTTTTGTTCACCATCGACTTGAGCCTTTCCCTCAAGGCACCCTTATCGCCCCCCTTTTCTGCACTTTTGTCCTTCCTTTGCTTCACAACTTTTTGAGCGTTGGACAATTTCTTCACGTAGTCGGCCATGCGCATGTTGTGCCACTTCAGTAAGAAAAAGTCGAAAAGCACACCATAGCTACGCATGACTACACCCTTCCCGGCTTCCTTCCGAATAGAATCTACGCAGCGGCGAAAAGCCATCTTCACCGGCGTGGCGCTAGACACGACCTCCAATATCTTGGCGGGAAGGTCACCTTGGTATGTGGCAAACAGCGCCGGTTGCTTGAGCGCGTGAAGGTACCCGTCCTCCAGCGTGTACACGAACTCGAAGAACGATGCGTCGGCAAAGATGAGACTAAGACCTCGCCATTTAACGTTTCTCCTGTCCACCTCCCTTTCCAACCCTTTCAGCCCGGGATGCACCTTCACAAACTGGGCGGCATCCTCATACTGGTGACTATTGACAAAACTTGTGAACGCTGGACAATCCCTCTTGTGTCTCGTCACATGAGAGAGGGCGCTGCTCAACAGCCACCCGGACAGGAAATACACTACTTCACGCCGATCCTGGGCCAAGTCGTACCGGGTAGTAGGGTACTCCACCCTCAATATGTTCACCTTGGTGATCTCGTCCGCCAAGAATTGCCACGTGGCCTGCACGAAGTGGATTACAGGGAAGCGAGACCTTGTTTATTACGCGAGGGAACCGACATATACCGCTGAACAACGCGTGGGGAAGAAGTTGCAACTTCAGAATACAACAAAGGTCTCTACGCGGAGCTTCCACATGACCCACCACCTCACCCGCTCACCTTGTCAACAAGATTGAACACGATACCGAGTCGCCGCACCGCTTCATCCTCATGTTCCACCAGCGTGACGGCAGTTGCATAAGTCCGGTCGTCCCTCAGAAACTCTTGCATCATGCGAGGGCGAACCAGCCTCCGCTGGCTCGAGAAGGCAGCTACCCGCCGAGAGTCAGGGGCCTTGCCAACACTATCGCGCAGGAGCCCCACAAGGAAATCCCACCACAACAAAAATCGTAGATCCCAAGCAGTTTCTGTGCCAAGGGCATCCCTTCCGCGTAGGTCTAATCGTTTACAACGGGGGGTACACATGGGCGAGAGGGATACAGGACGAAATGAGGCTTTGCCGACATGGCCGTCTTCCTTCATGACTACAGGTGGCGCAGGATACGACACACGATGTGGGGCGATATTTGGATGGGAAGAAAACAACCGCCCCCCCCCCCCACCCCTCCGGTGTTTGCCATCGGGGTTGGGTTTTCGTCGCTTGGCAACGACGTTGTA